TCCATAGGGCACTCTCTGGCTTTCTGGACCAAGGGGTTATTACTCCGGTCTCTGCTGCAAAAGGGGTTTTACTTCAACCTGTTCATTGCCCCAAAATCCAGAAGAGGCATTCATCCCATTTTGGGCTTTAAGAATGTTTACATTCGGCCCCAAAAATTCCAGATGGAATCAGCCAGATATATCATTGCTTCCTTTCACCAGGGGAACATCTTAGCTTCGGTGGCAATAAAAGATGCCTATGCACATATGCACATCTTTACAGCTTGGCAATGTTTCCTGTCTCACAATCAGCATTTTGGAACTTTGGGAAATTAGGTTGTCCCTTCAGTGTGGGACTGACCTTTTGGAGGGTCATCTGACTCAAATGCACGTTATGGTGGTGGCATACGTTAATCATTATGGAGGAACAAAAAGTCTTGATGCTGCAAGAGGGGTAGAGTAGCTCTTGTTCTGAGTGGAACTTCATGTTTCAGCTGTGTCAGCCATTTACATTCTTGGTTCAGACAATTGGCAGGCAGGTTTTTCCAGCCAGCAGCATCTGGACCTTGGAGAGTGGTCTCTGAAACCAGTGGTCACTGAACCCAGAACCTGTGTCACAGGTGAGCACAGCTACCAAATGTGGACCTGGTTTTCAGGTTCAACAACAAGCTGAACAGGTTCGTATCCAGTTGCTGGCAGAGGCAGTGAATTCTCTACTGGTGATCCTCATTGTTCTGCATTGGCTTTGGTGGATATGGTATGCCAACCTGGTAAGACTTCTTGTAAATGCTTTGCCAGACAGGCCAGATCTACTGTCATAAGGACCGATTAATCATCCTGTTTCTCGCTGTCTTTAAAAGCATGGCTGTTTAAGCCCAGATTCTAAGCGATAGGGACATCTGAATCTGATTCCTACAATGCTCAAGGTTAGGAACTCCACTTCCCATAGGATCGCACATCAGACGTGGAAGGTATAATGTTGCTTGGTGTGAAATTCGCCCCAAGAGTTTCTGTTGACAGATTTTTCTGCAGTTGGGTCTAGAACATGGATTGTCTCTTATCACCATCGAGTGACAGATCTCTACCCTTTTTATTCTTTTTCAGAGACCACTTCAGAGACGTCCAATGAAAAAAAAAAGAGCATCCAAGAGGTGCAGGGATTTTGATATGAGTTTAAACAAGGTAGTAGGAGGGGAAAAAAACACTTGAAGGCTCAGGCTAGGCTGTTCACAATAGGCAAGACCACCCTACTGTGGGTACTCCAGCAGATTACCAGGAAAAAGTGTGCACATATGGAAGGAGCACCAGACCAGATGATAAGACTGTCTTTTAACATAACATCATTAAATGAATTTGGACTCTCTTCTTCTGGTCTGGTGCTTCTTCCATATGTGCACACTTCAGAGACCTGGCACTCTTCCCAGAGCTCAGGGGACAGACTATGTATACAACCTTCTGATAGAAGTATACTCTTTGCATCTTACAGGAAATATCCAAAAGACTATTCACCTGCTTCAGACCTTTGGCTCAGTGGTCAGCTTCAAAGACCTGTTCTACAGCCTTCCATTGACCTTGAGTATCTTGATCCAATTTTATATGTACAGTGCCTTGAAAAAGCATTCATACCCCTTGAAATTATCCACATTTTGTCATGTTACAACCAAAAATGTAAATGTATTTTATTGGGATTTTATGTGATAGACCAACACAAAGTGGCACATAATTGTGAAGTGGAAGGAAAATGATAAATGGTTTTCAAAATGTTTTACAAATATCTGAAAAGTATGGTGTGCATTTGTATTCAGCCCCCCCCCCCCCCCCCCGAGTCAATACTTTGTAGAACCACCTTTCGCTGCAATTACAGCTGCAAGTCTTTTTGGGGATGTCTCCACCAGCTTTGTACATCTACGGAGTGAAATTTCTTCTCTGCAAAATTGCTCCAATTCTGTCAGATTGGATGGAGAGCGTCTGTGAATAGCAATTTTCAATCTTGGCATACATTCTTAATTGGATTTAGGTCTGGACGGTCCAAGGAACCAGGTAGGGAGGAGGCCAAACTCCCCAACAGCACCATAGAGCTCAGAGCTGTCAGGATACCTCTACAGCAGTAGACTGTCCCCTTCTTCACAGACACTCAATTAGGGTGCAGTCTGACAATGCCTCCACAGTAGCATATACCAGCCATCGAGAGGAGAACAAGAAACTTATCTGCGTTGAGTTGTGTAAACGTGTTTTCTCTAATGGATAGAAATGTTCCAATCCCCATTCAAAGTGTAGACAATTGGCAGGTGGACTATCTCAACCACCACCATCTGGACCAAGGGAGATGTTTTCTTCAGCCAGCTGTGTAAAATCTAATGCACCAAACAGAAAACTTTGGAAGTGGGTATCCTAGTTTCCAGAAAAAAAAATACTACCTACCTTTTTTTGTTTCTGGATCCACAAATCCAGTTTCGGGCTGTGTGTTCTTTCACTGAGCATTCTATCTTGCTTATTCCACTAACTAATATGGGAGAAGGAGACATTTTTCTGATATCAAGTGAGCCAGAAGACCCTGCTACATAGACATCCTCAGCCTTCTTACAGAAAAACCCCTGCCTCTTCTAACATGGCGGAGCTTTCTGAGGGTCATTCATTCCTCGCTGTTTCAAAGACTCCAGCATTAACAGCATGACTGTTGAAACCCAGGTAAGAAAGGATAGAGTGATCCCTTAGTCTGTTCTTGCTACCTTGCTGAGTGCAAGAAAAGCCACATCCAGGAAGATTTTCATTGTAACTGGAAATCTTATTTTGCGTGCGGTGAGAACACTATTCAATCCAAAAGTTTACTCCCTGTCCCACATCTATCCCTTCTACAAACAAGTCTGAGCAGACTCTAGCTCTCATCACCCCATCACCCTAATAGGATGCTTGTTATTTTTGCACCCTGCTCTTAATATTTTAAGGACATTTCTCTGCTTTGATCTGGACCTTGTCAGAACCATTAGAGCACACCTGACATCTACTTCCTATTTTAGACAGAGTCGTTGTTTGATCTTTTTTTCAAACCCTTACACAGGGCACTACACTGCAAAACCCACCATTGCTTGGTGGATAAGGTGTTTATTTGCTAGAGCCGACACTCAAAACCAAAGGCCTCTTCCTGTGCTGTTATGTGTACACTTCAGCACATTTGTTAGGGAACCCTGTGCTTTTAGGCGTCAACCCTCAGGTGCCAGATTTTGTTAAACTACCACCTGGTTTTCTATTCATGCTTTTCAAGTTACCAGGTGCATGTTCTAACTTTTGCTGACACAGCTTTGGCCACAGGGTTCTTGCAGTGGCGCTCTGAACCTTGGTAGTTTTTGTCTTGTTGCTGTTCAGCCTGTTGGCATAGTTCTTTTCCCTAGTGGTTGTCCAATTTTGTATTCATTGTTTTGGGACATCCCATGGTAAATGAATAAGATGCCTGTGTTCTGTACTGTGTGATTAAGAGGAATTTTAACATACCTTTATTTCCATATCTAGGAGTACAGTACAGGACACAGGCAACAAAACTGAGGAGTTGCAGAGTTCGGAAAGGGTTATAGGAGAGGTGCCCCAGGTGGGGCTTGCCTTTAAAAGCTTGCCAGTGTCCAATCACCTTAAACCTGTAACCCCGGTATATGAATAAGATGTCTGCGTCCTGTGCTGTACTCCAAGATATGAAATGTTCAAGTATGTCAAAATTTCTTTGCTCTTGTCCACCCTTCCCTTATTGCCTTTTGTTTCACTGTTTGCTACTGCTGAACATGTTCAGTACCTGCAGAGGTATAGCTACTAGGTGGGGATGTGCCTTTTGTTTTTGCCTAGGGTCCAATTTTCTAGCAGAAGGAGCTATATACAGATGTTAAAGACTGTTTATCCAAAGGAACTACTGTAGAAAAAGATTTTATGGTAAGTACATAATTCCTTTGAGTGCAGAAGTCACAAAACCATGTTTAACTGCCCTTGGTGCTGAACCCTAGCTGTAAAAAAGGTGTGCTAAATACACAGACGATTTTAACTGAGTCTACATCTGTTTCCTATTTCAGCAGAGTTTATCATACTCAAATATTAATATTTTTATCATGTGTTGAATTCCTGTCTATTCATTGCTGCACAATTTCTTTTCCCTTACTCCCGCTCTCCACAAGTTTCTACTTCAACTATTCACTTTGTAAGTGTGTACGGAGTATTTTCCAATGTTTGACATTGCAGCAGATGATTTTTACTTAAATCATGTAGACAAAACAACCAAGTATCTTGTGTATTGAGACCAGAGCACAAATTTCTCAGTCTGTGGCTTGTTTGTCCTGGTGTCTGTCATTTGTAGGGCTGATTAATAGAAACTGGACCAGAAATAGAGCTGTTGCCCATAGCAATCAGTCAGATTTCATCTCTCAAGCTAATAAATTGTGGTCACTGATTGGTCAGTTATTGTTTTAACATTCATTGGCCCAGTTTTTAGAAATCAGCCCTAAGGTCTTGTCTCTGACACAGAGTGTGAACCTCACATGAATGGTATGTGTCCGGAATGTTTATGAAAATTGCATTTTTGTCTCATTATATTGCACAGGTTGTTGATTATGGTATAGTTTAATAAACTCTGTAAACTCTGCATCCTGTTGTCTTTCGCTATCTGCCATTTTGTTCCTGCAGCTTTATTCTTTTTCGGGTCAAGTGTGTTATATTATAATAAAGCTAAATACACCACCTCCTTTCCAGCGGGTCCCATAGAAATTTGTATTCACAAATTGGCATTGTAACAAAATTAGCCTGCAGGAATAATGGTCACAAGAGAGACCCAAAATGGTGTAGCTCTTATTTGTCATTTTAGCTGTTGTATTCGCATAGAGGGTTACAGACTAATCAAAGCATGTGCATCATGTTTTGCATGTATCGTAGATGTCTGTTAATCAAGAATGAGGAGAAATGTATGTAGACAAAACTTCTTATTGCATTTGCTTATATTGCTAACTATGTTTTTTGGGATCTTCCAATTTCAGGTCTCTCCCTGGCAGTGCACTAGAGCTACGTTATTCCCAGGCCCCAACTCTGCCCATAGGTAGCCACATGGACCACTACAGCAGTACAGCTGTAATAAGGCGGCCCAAAAAAGGGCGCTGGGCAGCTATGAAGGATGACCCAACAAAGGTACTGTATGTGATCAGAACTATTATAAAGTACTTCTTCTTCCCAGTGCTTTAAGATAAGTATGTATTAAAGAGACTCTGTCTTTATAACCAAACATTACTGCAGGTATAATACACAGCAATAAACCAGATGGTACCTAGCTTTGAGGGAAAACAGCACACCCTTTTACCTGGCTTTTGGTCTCAGATTTCTACTTCTTTTAAGACAAGATGACCTCAAAATAATAGGGTGCATTTTATCTGATAACCTACAAAGTATATAGGAAAAAAATCATAAAATAATAATTTATGTTTCAGATGCAGACTTGCCTATACATTTGGCGAGTAATATAATAATATACAATAACAAGAAGTGAAAGAAAGTCAAGACACTGTACTTTGGTGTTATCCAAATTATACCAAAGGAAAATATTACAAAGCTGTATTTTTTCTAAATAGGGGGTTTGAATAAAATGTCCCCTAACACAAATTGCACTAAAAAAAACTACCTACACCAAAACAGCACTGTATCATACAATAATTAAAAACCAAATAAATATCTAAATGACCTGCAATTTAAATGCATAATATTAATTGTAAACTGTGCTACATTTTCAATTGAGGTTAAAATTTCTAATCCGGCTTCTCTTCGTCAGTCTCTTGTTGATTTCAAATATCTACATGTAATATATTAATACACCCATAATTGTAGAGATTAATGTCTTTATGCCATCAGCTGTATTTTATACAAATAGAGAAAGTGTTCTCATATTTAGCTGGGATCCCTTTAGCTGTGTTTAAAGAGTTGAAGAGAGCTTTTTTAAATCATAAAATACATACAGATTTTCTGTATGTAGCCTTGTTACTTTGCAAATCGATGCTTATTTATCTCTTTAGGTCCACTTTAAATTTAGACACATCTGAAAGCACAAATCCAAGGACCGCTGATAGGTAATGGGATACAACTGAACACAAAGGGGATATACAGTATATATATATATATATATATATATATATATATATATATATATATATATATATTTCACATTTCCTTAAAGTGTAACTAATGGCAAAACGTTTTGGTGTTTGTATTGACGGGGGAGGTTGTTAAATCACTGCTAGGTTGTATTGCTGTATTTGTCCATATTAGGGAGATGTACTCTTATTGATTGTCCCAATCACCAATGTCACTGGAAATAAAAGTGGGGGTAAATTAAAATTTTGAGTTACCACCAGTACAGAAATAGATACTAAGAGAGTATTTCCCTCACATTGGAAAAATATCTCTGACTTCCTACAGAACAAGAAGTAAAGGTAAATCTCTTTAATGAGACACAGACTGCAAAAAACACCAATAGGGCTTTTAATCCTTCTCTGTCCAAAATGAAAAAAAAAAGTTTTTGTTTCAGATATGCTGTAATATTCACCTAATACAACACTTTTTTTTTTATTTCAAACATCTACGTATGTACGCTGTATAGCAAAAGTAAATATTATTTTTTTATCTGACCCTCACTAACCCCCTGAAACCCATCCATGAACCACTTAGGGGTCAATGGACCGCAAGTTCACAACCTCTGGTATAGAAAAAAAGAGATATTATGGACTGGACAAATTCCTTACTGAAAATAGAAACAAATGATTCAGACAATAGTAAGCAAAGAAGTAAAGGAAACATAACTTTTTAAGACGATAAATAAATAGAAAGAAAACAAGAAAAGAAAGTAAAAAAGCCAGAAGTAAAAACAAGAGGTGTCCAATGGAAAATACAGGAGCAGGGCAAGAAGAGATAGAGATGGATACCATAAATGCTATTTATCTAATTTTGTATTAAAACTTAAACCATATTGCCATATATTTACAAAAGGCACAAGGTTTTTCCCAGTGGGGGGGGGGGGGGGTGCAGGTTTAAATATTTTGTTCTGGTGGTTTAACCAAAAAAGAGCTGTTCCCTCAGGGATAATGAAAACAAAGAAGATGAAAAGATGTTGAAAGTTTAGGAAAGCTTTTTCAAAATAGGAAAAAGTAGTTGAGCAAGTTGTTGTGGGAAGAAGAAAGTAATGATGGTCTGAAAAATACCATGCAGTATAGTGAAATTAAGTTAACCCCTTAGTGACTTAGGGTAAAACAAATGTTGCCTGAACACAATTTTGCAACTTTGGCTTGCGTTAGTAAAACTGTGCATATCATCGCAATCACTTTATGTATGCAGTTGGATTATACCTTTTTTTTTTTTTTTTTTTCAGTTCAAATTAGGCTTTCTTTTGGTGGTAAATGGTAATAGATATCTTCTTTTTTTTTTTTAATTGTCAAAAACTGGCCCAAAATAGTAATAAAAAAAACATTCTTTTTTATATATAGCTGTAAATTTCTTGCTATTAACTTAACACCAAAGAATAACCCAAAATGATTTCTCCTGCTCCTGACGAACGCAGCACAACCACATAGGTCTATGTTAGTTGTTGTTTGTACCTATAGTAGGTCCCAGAAACAATAGTGCACATTTTGTTTTTGCTACCTAAAACACACTTTGTTACCCAAAATATACAGGCCCTGACCTTTGACCCTAACACTAGCCCTTTTACTGACCTAGATCAAACCTTTATTAAGCTTTTTTTTTTTGCTGAGAAATCACTTAGAAAAACCCCATAGCATTTCAGACCACCGCCATCTTGAGCAAGGGCAGATGGTTCATGTAGCAATTTTTCCCTGGAATCCATCTGCCCTTAGCTCAAGCACGCATACAGGAGGATGTGCTTAGCTGAGAAAACCCCTCCTCCATTACTGAGATGTATTACATCTTTTGCCCTGGCATGGAAACCAGGAAGTAACTAAAGAAATGTAAAAAAAAATTTTTATAAAACAAGTGAATATATTATTCCTTCTTATCTATGTACTAATGCTAGCAGCATAAGGGTTCAAAATAGTCAATGTTGAATGAGTGAGTGAAGTTCCACTTTACTGCGAGACCTGGTCCTTTTGGTGAGAGAACCATGCAGCGTACTCCCAGCACAAAGGGAGGTACACATATATGTGGCTTCACGGATAAAGACCCACTTCCATGAGGCTGCATATCTGTGTACTGTTGGCAGGAAGGGGCTAAAATAACAAATATGCTCCCTTTTAAATTTTAGCAAATTTACATTTTCCTTCAAATTTTTTCTACAAAATTGAGGGTAATTAATCTTATAGAAAATATACTTGTAATTTAAAAAAGAGGAAAAAAAGCTGTAAGTGAATTATAGAAAAATAACCAAATAGTGGTGAAATCTAGTGATAAAAGGGGGCAACATTGTCCTTCTTCCAGATAAATATTACATTTAGGAGACTTAAAGACAACCCTCAGATGTCGATTCTTAAGAAAAAATCTCAATGAATCCATTCCCGGAATTAGATGAGAAATTCAATCAATGACTATATTACGTGTACATAGAGGAGATTATCAGAAAGAAAGAAAGGTTTGAGCACATAAAGGTGGATGATTTTAGTTTCAGTGTTTCTTTTATTAGGTTTGAAAAAAAATAAGGATACACAAACAGCAGAGAGATGTAGAAAAAAAAATCTGAACTCTTAAAAAAAAAAAAGGTTACTGCATCCCATTAAGGAAGGGAAAGGAGGGGTAGAGAAGGGCAGGAGGGCATGAAGGTGGTGGAACAAGAGCGGGGAGGGGGTGGATAGGGTAAGGAGAGAAATCGGTCAGGTCACACACACCTGTATTTTGTAATTGCTCCCAAACTCACCAACTTGCTGAAGGAGGGAGAAATCCCTGCAGGGATATACAGAGTTTAAAGGGGAACGGTGTTTGCAAGAAGTTCCCAACATCCATCATATACTGCAGCAATTCTAGTAGGTTCCAGGATATGTGAACCAAAAGCTTATTAAGCCTGTATAATAGGCTTAGAAGGAGATGAGCGCACATCTATTTTCACTGAAGGATTCACGGAAAGTCACTGTATTATGTTTTAATCTGTCAGGAATCAAGGAATGACCAGAAAGGTGTGGACTGACACAGGGAAACGCAAGTATAGTATAATAATACAGGTTATTATTAGCCACCCAGATATATATATATATATATATATATATATATATATAAACGCACAGTGAACAAACCAACCTTTCACTAATCTTAGTAGGTGCAGGAACACAGACGCAGTCAGGGCTGGAGAGGTGGAACGGTCAGGCCGGCCGTAGGGTTCTGTAATGACCGTTTGGTGGTACCTCTAGTGGTCCCCAGGACAGGATTCCCCAGGGCGCGGAGTCTAAGTCCCAGCCTGCTTATTCACCAGGGCCCCTGATGGTGGGGATGGACTTGGAGCAGACAGGAACCAGGTCGCGGCCCCTGAGTACACCTGCTAGTGGTAGAGGGATCCGCCAGAGGTATGTGCAGGTACCGTTGGATCCGTGCAGGATGGATGGATGGCAGAGTAGTTAGCGTGGTCAGACGGGCCAAGTCAGCAACGTGCGGGCAGCAAGGTACCAAAGGAGCAGGCAGAGAATAGTCAAGGTCACAAGCCGGGTTCAGTAACTCACGGACAGCGCGGTACAGGGGATCAGACAGAAGGATGGTCAGGCAAGCCAGGGGTTCAACAGGAGATGGTCAGCAGAGGTCAGAATCATGCCGGGTCAGCAACGAAGCAGGAACACAGGATACCAGGTACAGAGGCTCATGGGAAAACATACACCAAGGCCCAGAGCACAGGCCTTGTCATGCCTTAAATACACCTTTCTGTAATCAGCCCCAGGTTTGGCTGATTGCTGGAGTGAACTTCTGGCTGCTGAGAGCACCCGCTGGTCAGCTCTGGTACTGCAGCCCACACGGCAGGTGAGACCCACCACCAGTGCTGAGTCCATTCCTGACATAATCACTTTATCACAAATTTGGACTTTTTTTGGATAAACGGATTTATTTTTGTTTTTTATTATGATCACTTTATTGATATATTGAAAATTTTTTTGTCAGTTTGCATACATAATAGTATATTTCACACACTTTATATAGTTGGATAATAGGAGCGCAAC